CAATTTTACAGTAGTTGTTAAGCAAATTACATAGACTTTAAGCAAATTCAGCTTCCCAATGGGCATTTTTTTGCCAGAAATCGACAAAAAAAGTACCAAATCAGGATCACATTATCACAGGATGCTGTAACCAGTCATAAATGCAAACCAGTCATGTGATTGTAGGGTTGATCCAACAGTCATAAGTGTGAATACATGTCATAAGTCACTTTTCCCAAGTCCATTATGACTTTGAACCATAAATAAATGGTTGTTGAGGACTATCTGTACATAGAGTATTATGTGCAGATGAGCATGGAATTAAAGTAGAATCTCAATTCTGTGGCACTTCATTCAGTGGACTTCAGATGGAATGGACAAAATCTGAATTCATACATTTTATCTGAGTTGCATAAATTATCATTGTCGACCTTTGGCCGCTCTATGGATCAGCCCTCTTCATGCCCCTGTCTCACACTCCCTCTTTCAGATCCACCATGGTCATCCCGGTGTCCTCTTTATAGTGTCCAGCCAATGGGTACTAAGGCATAAATGGTACATTAGGAATTACTCTTGGTATGGGAAGAAAATGTTTTTGTCCTCACATAGAGAAGTCTGAAAACTGAGAAAATGTCCTGGGAAAGATGGCAACTTAAAGGATAGGAAACCAAAGAGTAGGACAATGAGACAAGCTTGGTCCTGCAGTATGCTTAGGCAAAGCAAAATAATAACTTCAGACAATCAATTTCAGCTTTGTGGTGGAAGGTAGAGCTGTAAGTCTTGTGGTTTTGCTATAAAGCTATGCAAGTGAAAAAGTGAAGAAATAACTCTGAGTCCATTTTCACCCCACTGACACGCTCAGCTGTTATTACAGCCAAAAACCAATGCAAATGTCTCCTCCTCAAAGTAATCTGAAGGGAACAAAGGTTTTTGAGTAATGGCTTCTAACCTTCTAAGTAATGGCTTCTAACTTTCTAGGAAATATTATTAATCAGAGTTCTTGATCAGTTAAACAGATTCCAGTTCTGGTTTCCTGGGTGGGGGATGGGGCAAATATGAAAAAAGATCCAAAGAGGATGCCTTAGAACTGGGCATGTGGACAAGAGAGAGATGAGCAGAAAAAAAGAATGTGGAAAGCTGTGAGTCTGGGCCAGGGAGAAAAGGAGAGTTGATAATGGTATAGGATGATCTATCTAGAGTGAGTTGCGACATAGGAATTTTGCTAGTTGTGGTTTCCCTTTCCTCAGCAGCATAGTGTCCTAGAAATTCCCCAAAGACAATGTTAACTTTACTCTAGGGGCCAAGGAGTTAGGGATGGTTTTCATAGGAAAGACTCATTTGCATTGCCCTGCCAATTCTTGGACTGCAGCTCTTTAAAACTGTCTTATTATTGCCCAATACAGTTCTTGCACATTAAAGACCCATCTCCTCATTCTTGAATAAGATGAAAAGGTTCTTATGGAACTACTCCTCTGATTCTGGAAGAAATTCCTTAAAATATTGCCCATCCAAATAATTACTGTGGCTGCTTGTGGAACTAAGCTGGCCCATCTAGAGCTAGAAAGTCCCCCCTCTCCAATTTCCAGTGCTTGTTGTACTCCTGTTGTGCAGATTGCCTATTTCTCCCTGACTGATTGACATACAGTATTAGACAAAAAGTATATATTGTTCACAGATTTTCCATGGCTTGAACATCCATACTAAATTCATATTAATGGGATGAATCAAATGTTCCTATCATCCCAAGGATATTGTGAAAATATATAATTCTATGAGAGTTAATTACTGCAAATCACAGGCATTTTGTATAGTTTTCATCTCAAATACCATGTTTGGCATATACTTGATAGCTAGGCATAGACAACTATTGTCAAATTCTCACTGGTTACCTTGAATCTGTTAGTGCTTTCACATTAAAAAGTGCTCTCACAAGACACAGGATATATGGTAAATATTGACTAAATAATATTTATGCTGGAGTTTAGTATAGCTCAAAAAATAAAAGAGTCTACAGGAAATGTAAAATCTGAGTTTGTCACCCATTTTACCTGGGATGGAAATAAACTGCCTGGAGTGATTTGAAACAGAGACAGGGTTGGGATTAGCAACAGGCAACCAGAGGAGGGGTGAAAAAACTCAGGAGATTGGCCTGGGCTGTACAATGGAAGACCCGCCCCCTCCTTTTTTTTTTTTTTTTACATATGTCACATGTGTAACAAAACAATGGACTTTGATGTGGCCAAAATCTTCATTTATTTTTGTTTAAATCCCCCCCCCCCATTCTCCAGCCAGTTACTCTGGACAGCAAATTTTGTGCTGGCATTAGTTTATTGCTTAAATAAAGATAGTAAGTTTTGTGTTTTGGGATTCGAGGCATTGAAACACGACTCATCATAAAGCAAATTTCTTTATTTCTCCTTAAGTCCACTCCAAGCAACAAGCAAACAGGCACGAATGCCTTTTATAGTTTTCTAACCCCCAGGCAGTCCAGCCAATAGTAATCCTTCTTTCTTCGTGCCTTGCGCGGGCGCAGTAGTCCGGCACCAGCCAGTCTGGCCCTGGGCAGCTTTTAGGTTGCCCGGCACCATTTGCAACATTTCTGGGCCTGCTGAGTTTCCTCATCAGGCCCAGGACACAGCACCCCTCCCCTCTGGATAGAACACACACAATGCCCATTTTCTTTACAATAATAATAATATAAAAAAAATATTATGTCTCTGCCCTGCTGAGCCCACCAAAAGTCTCATTCTGCAAATGGTGCTGCACCAGTTGAGAGTCCTCGACTTACGACCGGTTGAGTAGTCCTCGACTTATGACCGGTTGGGGGTCGCGGCATTAAAAAGGTTGAGAACCACTGCATTAAAGGTAGACAGTGCATGTCTCCTTTGCCAGAAACTTTGAAATGTGGCATCTGGACACATGTCATGCCATCCTGACAACACCCATGTCAGCACGCATGCAAGTATGTGATCAGTGGCAGTTTCTGCAGCCACATCCCTAGCATTGAGGGGAGATTCAGGCAACTCCTGAATGGAGAGAATATTAATATCAGGAGCAGGATCTGCCTCTATCTGTTTTAGAGGTAATATGCTGAGGCCATCTGCATGGCCCATTTCCTTTCCAGGTTTGTGGATTAAAGTGTAGTCATATGCTGACAGGAAAATAGACCATCTCAGCATATGTGGGGAAATAATGTGTTGTGTTTGTTTGTTTGTGGTAAACAAACCCAGCAAAGGCTTATGGTCTGTGTAGACCATGAAGTGGCAGCCATATAAGAAATCATGACATTTCTTTATGCCAGCCACTATGGCCAAGGCTTCTCTGTCAATCTGAGCATAATTACGCACTGCAGATGACAGAGTCCTTGAATAGTATGCTACAGGGACTTGTGTCTCATCAGCCTTCAGGTGACTGAGTACAGCACCCACCCCATAAGGGAATGCATCACAAGCGATGTATACAAGGAGTTGCTCATTAAAATGGGCTAATACCGCATTTGATGAGAGCAAGGCCTTGATCTCCTTAAAACTCCTGTCATGGACTTTAGTCCACTGCCATGGAGCTTTCTTGTCCAAGAGCCGGTGTAATGGCTCAGCCACAGTAGCCTTATGGGGAAGGAAAGCATGATAAAAGTTAAGAAGCCCCAAGAAAGCCTGAAGCTCGCTTTTGGACTTGGGACTTGGGGCCTCCTGAACGGCCTTCAATTTAGACTCTGCAGGGTGGATGCCTTGAGCATCTATTTTAAAGCCTAAAATTCTGTAGAAGTAATACCAATTTTACATTTGTCCTTTTTTAATTTGAGGCCCACTTGACGGAACCTCATCAACACAGCCCTTAATCTTTCAGCCAAATTCTGAGATGACTCCCCTGCAATGAGGACGTCATCAAAGTAGGGGCAGACCCCCGGGATACCCCTGAGCGTGCGCTCCATGACGCTCTGGAATATGCCAAGAGCAACATTCATCCCAAATTGTAACCTTTTTACTTTAAAAGCACCTCTGTGGGTCACTATTGTTTGGGCTTCAGCAGTTGCCTCATCAACAGGTAGCTGTTGATAGGCCTGTGCTAAATCAAGCTTTGCAAACAGTATTCCCCCTTTAAGGGAGGCCAGAATATGACTCACTACTGGTACAGGATATGCATGCTGTTGCAAAGCTGTGTTCAGAGTACACTTATAGTCCGCGCAAATTTGGACTTCCCCATTAGCCTTTAAAGGTGTCATGATTGGGGTTTCCCATGGACTTGAGTCCACAGGTTCCAAGATGCCCTGCTGGAGCAGCTTGTCCAGTTCAGCATCAATCTTGCCTTTGAGGGCAAATGGCAGCCTCCTAGGCTTAATCCTAACTGGTGCGATGTTTGGGTTTAGTCGCAGTGCGATGGGAGGCCCTTTGTATGAACCAAGCTCTGAACTAAACACATCCACAAACTCTTTGCAGACTTCTGCAAGTCCTGGAGTTTGCAGACTATTCAGACCAGTCACCTGAATTCCCAGGGCCTCAAACCAGTCGAGTTCAATTAGACTCATACGATCACCCCCAACAACCACCACATCTAAGAGGCCTTGGAAAGCCTTACACTGCACCTTGAGTGTGGCTTCTCCTAATATATTAACCTTTGAATTTTGAAAGTCAGTAAGAATTAGGTTCGATGGCCTGAGTTTGACTTGACGGCCACTACTGCAGCAAATCCTTTTAAAAGTACTGTGTGAAATGATCAATATAGTGGACCCGGTGTCCAGCTCCATCGATAAGGGAACCCCTTGTAACTGTACATCAGTGTGAAGCTTCTTTTTAAGAGGCTTGTGTGTCCCCGTTCGCAAGATGCTTCTATGCGACGCACAGAAACCCATCCTATGTTGGCTGGGGACCCTGGTACCTTTCCGAAGGGATTCTTCCCGAGGTTGCACCTGCTGGCAACCCAAACATGCCCAGCAAATGGCGGAGCGGAACCGGCAGTCTGTGCACTTGTGGCATCCTCCGCAACTGAGACACTGAAGGGCTGCTGGGGCCTTGTCTGGTTTCTCTCACGGTCTTCTCACCGCCGGCTGGTGAAGTCTATCCACCTCCTCTTCAGGATCCGAGTCTTGGACTTCCTGAGCGACCTCCTGATAGACGGTTGCGATGGCTGGAGCGTTTCTGGCAAGCCGCAGAGCCTTCACAGCACCACCTGCTGCTTCTTCAGCTGCAACTTCACGTAAGACATCTTGGAAGGTGACTTCAGCTTTAGCAAAGATTTTTTATTGCAGCTCCCTGCTTCTCAGGCCACAGACAAAACGGTCTCGTAAGCGTTCTTCCAGGTCCATGAATTCACAAGGCCTGGCAGCTTGTCTCAATGCAGCAATAAACTCAGCAGCGGACTCGCCTGGCTTCTAATCCCTCTGCTCAAAAGCATGCCTCCACGCGATCATCGACAACTTTGGGTGGAAGTGATCCTTCAGCATGTTTTTTAGATCGGTATAGGTTACATACTCCAGTGGTGCCGAGGCTACCAGGTTCTGGGCTACATCGAAAGTGTCTTTATCGCAGACGCACAGCAGGGTTGCTGCTTTCAAGCCATCTTCCTGGACCTGGTTAACCCTTAGGTAATTTTCCACCCGGGCCATGTAGGAGTTCCAGCGCTCCGGGTGAGAGACGTTGAACTCAGACAGCCGTCCAATGTTTGACATCTTCTGCTTCGAATGCCTCGCTGCAAGCCTTTGTTGAGGGGAAAGGCCCATTTGCCAAACTGACCTCCAGCGATGCTGTACTGGCAGGTGAGTGCAGAGCTGGACGCCAATTCCCAGACTTCAGGCTTTTCAGATGAGGCTTATCCTCTTCTTACTGTCTTTTTCCTTGCAGCGATCCCACCCTTGTCGCCACTTTTGTGTTTTGGGATTTGAGGCATTGAAACACGACTCATCGTAAAGCAAACTTCTTTATTTCTCCTTAACTCCACTCCAAGCAACAAACAAGCAGGCACACAGGTCTTTTATAGTTTTCCAACCCCCAGGCAGTCCAGCCAATAGTAATCCTTCTTTCTTCGTGCCTTGCGCATGCTGAGTTTCCTCATCAGGCCCAGGACACAACAGTAAGTAGTAGTAAGTAGTACCCTAAGTAGTAGAAGGACAAAAAGTAGATTTGTCATTGCATGCTGGAATAAGCATTACTTGCTACTTGAAAATAATACATCTTTTTTATTTAGATTAGCTTTACTCCACTTGATGGAATAGCATTCCTAACAGTTGGTACTACAACTCCCAGAGTTTCTAGCTATCATGGGCTATGAAATATGGGCAGTGCTATCATAACTCGACCTGGTGGGGAAGGCTGGCTTATGCACACACCTGACCTATTTTCAGACAAATGGGAGGTGTTATATTTAATTTTCTTTTCATATGAACTCCACTTATGTGGATTAAAAAAGATCTCCTCCCCCTTTTTCTTACTGTGTTTTCTTCCTTGGATCTTTTCTCTCCTGGTGCCTATTTGGCTCATCTTTTAGAACAGAAACTTGGGAGAGAAAAGGGAGTTCAGTTGCCCTCAACTTTGTGACTTTTTTTTTTTAAAGCAACTCGGACCCCTTCAATCTCTTGGGTTTAGTTTGGAGAGGCTACTGTCTGTGTTTTACCAGTGTCTGGTTGTCATTCGGAAACCAAATGGATGTCTTCATTCCAGGGATAGTTTCCTGGTGAGTCAGGTTCTGATACTGGATGACCAGCTTGACTGTTGGGAAGTGGAGGAGGAAGGACACCGAGACTGTTTTGTGACAGATCTTCTTTATAGCCACATTAAAAACCTGGTCAGAACAAGGGAATGCACTGGCTCTGGAGGACTAATCAGACTGGGAACATTGCTAACTTCATTTTCAGATGAAATAAACCATTCCGGGATTTGTTATGACAAGCAGCAAGACTGGAAATTATGGGAAACCTTCCAAAATGTTCCTGTGATTACTATTACTTCATCCACAAGATAGCAGTTCTGTTTCTACCAACATTTCAGCAATGAAAATCATTCACTCTTCTGAACTTGTAGCCTTCCCTTGGACCCTGCTTAAAATTGGCACCTCACACTTGTTGCTGAAATTTTTTCTCTGCCTGCTGTCCATGTGCTACTTTTCCTCTGTTCTGTGGTGTTTTTTTTTTGTCTTGTTTTTTTAAATAAATCAATTACTACAGATGCTGCTAAGCTGGGTCAGTTTTCTCTCCTCCAAAGGAAACATCTGCTTCTGGCACTATTCACTGTTTGGGGAATAGAAAAGTGTGTAATTACGGTGACTAGTTTATGCTTTGTATAATATAGTCTGTTTCATTTTGGCATATTGGCTTGTTAAGTATTGTGAAGTCAGCCAACACCATTTCTAAACTGTGTTTTATGGCTTGCCATGATATGAAAACTGACCAATTGCAGTTTACTCAATAAATGATGACTCAACGAAACAGGATTGTGGGATGTGTAGCCCTAACCACTGGGTATCCATCCAAATGTTACACATGTTACACTTTGATTAGGTGTACTTTATAATGAAGTTCCTACCTCTTCTCCTGAGTAGGTGCCTTTGTATTCCCACAAAGATGCTGAAATAACCCGTATATGCCGGCGTATAAGACGACTTCCGGAAGTGCTAAACTCGGCGCCAAAGACGGGGGTCGTCTTATACGCCGAGTCGTCTTATACGCCGGAAATACTGGTAGTTTCTGGAGTATAAGACGACGTTCTAGGAATGCGGCTCAGCGACAAAGACGGGGGTCATCTTATACGCCGGGTTGCCTAATACGCCGGCATATATGGTAAATCTGGTTTCAATATGCATATCACACCTCAAAATATTTTCACAATATCCAGATTAAAAAGAAAGAAAGGGGAGGGGGGTTGGCATGGTCTCAGAAAGCAGATGTTTTCATTGTATATACAGGTGGTCTTCAACTTACAATTCATCTAGTCATCATTCGAAGTTACAACGGCATGGAAAAAAAGTGACTTACGAGTGTTTTCATATGACCGTTGCAGCATTCCCCCTTGTTACAGGATCTAAATTCGGGTGCTTGGCAACTGACTCATATTTATGATGGTTGGGGCTCCCGGGGTCCTGTGATGTACTTTTGTGATCTTCTGACAAGCAAGGAAGCCAGATTCACTTTAGAACCATGTAATTCACTTAACAACTGCAGTGATTCACTTAATAAGTGTAGCAAGAAAGATCGCAAAACGGGGCAAAACTCACTTAATAAACGTCTCGTTTAGCAACAGAAAATTTTGGGCTCAATTGTGCTTGTATGTCAGGGACTAACTGTATTACAAATCTAGTCAAGACTGGTTCTACAGCAATCTCTTTGGAATGTCTGGTTTTGTGCACTGGACTTACCAACAACCTAAGGAGAATCACCTAGCAATTCTTTTACCACTGTGGCCAGCAAGTGTCTATGAGAAGCCTATAAGAAGGATTAGATCACAATAGCCATATTTTTCACTTCATGTTCCTCAGAAGCCAAGTATACTGCCATTGATATTGAACATCATACAGCTTGCTGTGTCATTCCTTCAGTGAACGTCTATTTACTCTATAAAGCTGCCCAAGTTGCTATTCAACAAAGCCACTTGGGGCTTCATAGCGGGTATGAATAGATTACACACTTATAGGCTCTAAGCAGTGCTTTTTTTCTTAAAAAAAAAAAGGTGCCGGAACTCACAAATGTCATACAACCCACCTTGCCTACCCTAAGGCTCCATCCAAAAAAGGTGCCGGAACTCCGTTTTGGCCATTCTGTGAGAAAAAAAGCCCTGGCTCTAAGTATAATCTCACTTATGGACTCTATGTAGATAATTGCATGCTTTTTCAGCTCCTTCTGCCCTTTATAGAGTGTTCCAATTACAAAAACTGCTCTAATCTGAGGTTGGCAGCCTCTTGAGAGTTGTAGTGACCCCATAGAGATTCAAGGATTCAATAAAAGCTGAGTTGATTAACTCCAGAAGTTGATCAGTTGGACTTTAAATCCAGAACAGACTCTGGATTGACTCTTTTGGGAGTCATTCCTCATCAACTGCTGCACAGAGCAGCTTTCCACTGAGAGAAACTCACCCCTCATTTCTTCCTCTTCCTTTAAGATTCCCCCTTTCCCTTAAAAAACTGGAATTAATAGCTATACCTCATGTTGGCTTCTTTCTTTGGTTTTGCAACACGTAATGGAAGAATACTCCACTGGCTTTCTTGCTGAAAACTAGCTGCTTTTTATTTTTGGTGCTCCCCTATGGGCTGGCTGTTAGGAAGTTCAAGCAGGCATTTTCTGTGAATATCCTAGTACAGTGGTGGTGAATCTTTTAGAGATCGAGTGCCCAAACTGCAATCCAAAACCCACTTATGTATCACCGGGTGCCAGGTGGGTGTGGCCACTGGGTGGGCGTGGCTGTGGTGGTCATGGCAAACTGGGTGGGCGTGACCAAGGTGAGAGTGGTCACCTTGATGTTGCTCATGGGAAGGGACGCCTGTGGAGGCCGGGCAGGGTTGGGGAACATCCAGGGGATCTCTGGCAGGTGGGGCAGTGGGCAAGAGGCACGTCTGCAGGGTGAGGCAAGGTGAGGCAAGGGGGGGTGCCATTGTCGCAGGGCAAGGCAAGGCAGGGGCCAGCACAGCTGCTCCCTGACACCATCGGTCCCCATACACAGAAACCAGCGAGCACATAGGGGCCAACAGTGTCCATCAGCAGCCACAGCCTGCTACCCCCTCGACCGGCACACTCTGAGGCTCCGCAGCCCGCCACCAGCAATTCAGAGAAGCCGCCTCTGAGCTGGACGGCTGCCGACAGCTGAGGTGGTGATGCAGTGGGTCATGCCCAGGAAAAGGAAAGCATGCGAGGCCAGGAGTGATGGGAGGGAGGGGGAACCAGAGATGCTGGGATGCATCTGGCCATGTGGGACCTCAGTGAGTTAGTGGGCAGCTGGTTGAAGAAGGACTGTTGCCATCTCTGGGGCATGGTGCACGTGCCCACAGAGAGGGCTCTGAGTGCCGCCTCTGGCACGCATGCCACAGGTTCACGACCACTGTGCTAGTACAAAATAGTGCTCTGTGTAAAGTTGGTGACACAGAATGTAACTATGGAAGTGCTCTGACCTACATTCAAATCTCAGTTCTGAAAAGAGGTAGGTGTTGCAGATAAATAATAAATTCTGCTTAACAGAGGACATTCAATTCCACCTTATGAAAGAACAACCTTTCTTAAACTGGTGCTTTCTTAAAATCTGTTACTAACATATGTCCTTGGCCCTTGGCTAGGCTGGCTGAAGATTATGGAAGGTTAGAGTTCAATACGTCTGGAAAAACCCAAGTTGAGCAAGTTGTTACAGGCTGTGTTCATACATTAAACCAAAGATGGACAGCTTTGACTACTGCTATTATTATTACCCCCTGGCAAGAGCTGCACATATTACTTTGAATAAAAAATAGTTCTCTGAGGAGGTATGCTTGGGGATATCCTATCAGCCAAAGAAGCAAAAATAAGCAATATATTAAGGCAATTGCCTAATTCCCATCTGTGGAGGATAAACTTATACACTGCCCAAACTGGTAGTTTTCCTATTAAATTTGGTGGAGAAATTCTAGAAATACTTTGGGAACTACAAATATGAACCAGGATCACATGAAGTCTACAGTAATTGATCAGATGGCAGATTTTTGAAAAAGGTACTCATATTCAAGAAGGAGGAAGTTAGAGACTATTTATTAATCAGTCATCATTCTCAAAATATTTTTCTCACTAATAATAAGGAGCAAAAATTTACAAGCTGTAAATAATTGGGCTGTACAACTCTGAACAATCTCTAGATGGCAGCAAAGCATTAGGAATATTGTATCTCTTTGCTGTCATCTAATGGTTCCATGGATTTTTGCAGCCAACTATGATAACAAGACTCAGGAAGCAATCCCACTACAGCAACAACACCTCATGTTATCACAGTAAGGATCACCATACATCAAAGATCCTAGGTAAAGAAAGGCTTGGACACTTTTATTTTTTCAGCTAAATTTCTTCTCTTCATTAATTAAAATATAAAACAAACTTTTCTGCATAGTGTATACTCCTTGCAACCCAACCTTTCCCTTTAAATTGTTCTA